TTCGTTAAATCGAGTTATGTTAATTATAATGGTATTGATCTTGGTTTTCCCCACACACTTTGCAAAGCAATTCGTGTCTTGGGATATTTGTATATCTTCTTTTTTCTATTACAATATCCAAACTGTCGCCTATTCTAATATTTGTGTCTATGAATCTAATTGTTTTGCAAATCTTAGACATTAAGATAATCCTCAAGCCTTAATCCATATCAAAATAACTTTCTTGCCCAGAATTATTGACAACCTTAACATTCCACTCCTTAAAGATTATTTTCTTACTCTGTTTACAAACACATTTACAATAACATAATCATTTGGCACACCTTGGTTAAACCAAACCTAACAAAATCGGTACCTATCTAAACATATTTTTTAATGATGTATCCGTATAAGAATTAAACAATAAATCAAAACAAACATATTTATATGCTCAAAATCTTCTATGCACTAGTGAAATTATCATTATTACAAAATGATATGTTCACCGCCTAAAGAAATCATTTATCTGCTACTTCAAGCTATTAGATCAGTCTACATTATCGCATGGCTGTGAGCTTTTCCTTTGTTCTTTCTAACCCATTATACTCAGTACATGTCATAGGGTATATATATTTGTTTATTACATTGCACTGGTCTATACTTAACCTATACTTCCAATAAACTATCATAGATTATATCATTTCTAAATATACACACATACAAACACAGAGCAAATTATATCAGTTTTACATGGTACACTTACAGGGTGTCATATGCAGTTGTTGGTATTAAAAACTCCTTTTCGTTGAATTCGATTTACTTGTGCACGGGTCAAGAACCAATCGTAACTCCTTCCGCCTTTCTCCGCCATTATTCAAAAAGTCAAAACAATAACAAAGCCATTTTTGTGCTATATAATATTTACCATTTCTGTATTTATTTATTTATATAATTACAGGTATAAATGTATTTTGTATTTATTAATATATACTCTAATGAATCATGTATGTTAGTAATTGTAATATTGTGTATTTAATTAAATAATGACTTTTGTATATGTACCATATATATTTTGCATGTTTATGTAATTACAGGATCGTATCTTTTGTTGCGTTATCATTCAACCCCAAATTTCCATGATACTAACTACCTGGTTGAGCTGACCCGCAACAATGGCGCCCAACGGGGGACTCGAACCCACGACCTTTCTTCTTTTACCACTTAAATCAGCATCGGTAAGAGATAAAAATACAGAAGAAATCAAATCATCAAAGTATATCATTCCTCAAAGAAGAAATCAGGAAACAAACGAGGAAGCTCAGTCGGTACAATTACGTCCACAACGACATCGACGTAAACCTCAGTGGCAACAATCAGACCAATGGGTAATGAAATAAATGATAACATTGTTTCAACATAAGCTATCTGGATTATTGACGTATGGTCACAACATTGAAGCTTCAATAATCATGAAGAGTTTATAAACCTTCAACAATCTGGGAGATACCAGTATTCTTCACAAGATATACATTTCAAACTAAATACTTACCTTAATCCAAGATATGAATGGATATATGGATAACGTATACTTACCACGAAGGGAATGGCTTTACTTACCTGTATATAGTTGACAATTGCCTAAAAAAAGTGATGTGAAATGTTATGATAATGTTTGTATATATACTTACCAGAATATGCAATTGAAAACTCCTTAATATAAAAGATTATATATAACATTGATATATTTTATCAAAAATAAACGCATACATACATGTATATGACAAACACAATACACTTGACAAAGCTTTTCAAAAACGTATTCATATGTCGCAATAACCGGTGCTTTCATGGCGTACAGATATTTCCATATCGCGGAAATATGACATTTCGTCCGTATTAAAAAAGCCGACGTGCGTTTGTGTTTCTCAAGATGATACTGATTTACTCGAGTATTGTTATACATTATATGTATTAAATCCAACAGATAATAAACTTGTTCGTATATCAAGTTTACGATAAGATTTACTACAATATTTTTGTAGTTTAATATGTAGTTGATATTATATATATATTTATGCTGAACAATATTGTTTCAGTATATATTAGTTGTATATATGTTTCCGAGTTGGAAATGTCGGGACGACATTTTTCAGCTGGGGGGAATGTGTCATAGGGTATATATATTTGTTTATTACATTGCACTGGTCTATACTTAACCTATACTTCCAATAAACTATCCTAGATTATATCATTTCTAAATATACACACATACAAACACAGAGCAAATTATATCAGTTTTACATGGTACTCTTACAGGGTGTCATATGCAGTTGTTGGTATTAAAAACTCCTTTTCGTTGAATTCGATTTACTTTTGCACGGGTCAAGAACCAATCGTAACTCCTTCCGCCTTTCTCCGCCATTATTCAAAAAGTCAAAACAATAACAAAGCCATTTTCGTGCTATATAATATTTACCATTTCTGTATTTATTTATTTATATAATTACAGGTATAAATGTATTTTGTATTTATTAATATATACTCTAATGAATCATGTATGTTAGTAATTGTAATATTGTGTATTTAATTAAATAATGACTTTTGTATATGTACCATATATATTTTGCATGTTTATGTTATTACAGGATCGTATCTTTTGTTGCGTTATCATTCACTTCAACCCCAAATTTCCATGATACTAACTACCTGGTTGAGCTGACCCGCGACATACACTTCAATGAGCATTTCAAAACTGTATTGATATATAACAGTACAGGTTTTTCATTGATTCATATAGGGAAAAAACTCGACTGTTATATATCAGTCGAGTTTTTTTCGCACCTTGTATATATCAATACAGTTTTTTCATAGAGGCTCCAATGGGGCAGTGGTCACGACCATTCCCAGTAGCAAAAAAAAACCCATAAAATAATAAAAAAATGAAATCAATAAAATAAAATAGAATAAATATATAAATACAATGAAAAATATAAACAAAGATAATTAATGAAATGAAAAAAGCCCTTTAATCTTAAATCAATCTTGGTAACAGTATACAATCCGCCTCTTATATTGGATGTCTTTTGTATATTTTTTTTGCGGCAGCGAAAACATCGTGAAAAACTGCCTTATGATAAATAACTGTAATGTAGCTAATGATTAATTTATTTATTTGTTTCTATACAAAAAAGAAAACATTATGCCATTGCGATAAAACAGTTATAGTGTATGAAACTCGTTAGTTACGGGGGTATAACACTGGCTGGGGCGACATCTCGCCATTTTTTAGCAGAAACACCCCTTGATGTCGCCCCAGCCAGTGTTATACCCTCGTAACTAACTCGTTTCATATACTATAACTATTACATATAACACTCCTTTTAAACTTTTATGACATATACATTCCGTTTGCTTCCGTTTTAAAGAAACATACGAGTATATCTTTAAAACATTAAAGAGAAATACCATTACTCTTCTCTCATGTTTTTAACTTTTATTTTATTTATCTATTTATTTTATTTCATTTTTTTTATTTGCTTTTTTGATTGATTGATTGATTGATTGATTTATTTATTTATTACTATATGTTATTATTATTATTATTATTATTATTATTTTTATTATTATTATTGCTTCTTTTTTTACTCAACAGATCTGAAAAAAAAAGTTTCTTTTACTCTGAAGTACAGACATACAGTCAAATCTGTGAATCATGACCATAGAAATGAGTTATCATAGATGGACTTTATAAACAAGATGTCTTTATTCGGAATTTACTCTGTTGGTTTTTTATCTATCACGTTGGTCAGAGAGTGGAGTTTATTTACTCTGTAGCTTTTATTCAGAGGTGGTCCTTAACAGTTTTTGATTATATAAGCATGGTCATAAATGCAAATTGTTTTTACATAAGCCACGAAGATTCATTAGTTGTTGGTCTATCTGTTAATTGCTAATATAATCGAAAGTGTAGAAATGACTTAAACTGAAAATTGTGATAATATGACTTCTTCTGTTTCTTCCTTACTTTAACCAACGTCTGTCTTAAAGCTTGTAAACAACAATTTTGTTATAACTGAAATTTTGAATTACTAGTATTACGTCTTTTGGTCCTGTCTGATGAACAAAATTGAAACATTATTATTTGAAAAGGTCGAAGATATAACATATGTTCTGTTATTTTATATCATTTAATAGGTTATCATTCCTACAATATATGTATGATCGAAATTGATTGAATAGTTAGTCAATAAATTACAAAAGAGGGACTTTTATAAAAAAAATTGTTTTATGGAAATATAAAACTACTTTTCAGGTTCATTCATGACTAACTTTTATTCTAAACTCTAATCTCATATGTTGTCTGCTTTTTTAAATTTGTCTTTTAAAAGCTTCTATGTGATATGCAGGCTTCATAGCCTCTGATCCATAGTTATTTAAAATTCCATTTTATTTTATGTCGACTTATTTTATGTCGACTATCGTTTTCTCGTATAGGGCACACGCTTTCTTATACTTGGGGACCATTAGCCGCTCTTCGTGGAATGGTTCTAAAATGACACATTGAAGGTTACGTAATTAACACCGTATTTTACAGTATCGTCCATTAACAGACTCAAGAAAATTTTGGACATGTGACAGGCTAAAAATAGCCCCAGGTCGATCTTAGGGTAACTAGTGACCGACGCTAAAAAGCCTTTTACTCTATCTCAATTCATTACGAAGTTGCAGCACTTTTTAATCAGTTTTGATGGAAAAAAACAATGCAAAATAGTGATTTCTGGCAATTTTGAGACGTCCCCCCGTTGCCATGGTAACAGGAAGTTTACGATTGAGCATGCTGTTACAGAGGCTATGGTCTAGTCAACTTTGTGCCAAGTTTCATCAATATTGAAGCATTTTTCATAGTTTCATAGCAGTTTGAACTTGTTACAGGAGGCTTTTCAATGAAAACGGCCATTTTTCGCAATATGCTCATGTGGTAAAAGGTTAATATACGATAACCAAATTTAAAAAGTATTTTTTAGTTTTAAACATTTATCAAAGTTCAGATAAAAGCGTATCATATCTACTATAATTTTCTTTAAAAGCTCATTACTTAAACAAAAAAACGTCCTAATCTTCAATTTCTTCGTTTGTCAAACAGTGTCAACATTACAGCAGTCACGCCGACAAGAGGTTGTTTTTGTTCCGGAAGTGTTGACCACGCGAGCGTTTCTGTGTCAAAACATTCTACTTCACTCGGACGCTTACTCTCATTCCAGTTATATCCACCAAGTATGTAGATTTTCTCTTTCATGGCGCAACATCCAAACTCAGACCTTGGTGTCCGCATCTTCATGATGAAACTCCACTGGTTCATATCAGGCGAAAACCTAGTGAATAGAAATATTTATTTATTCATTTTTAAAAGTTTTAAGAAAAGGATAGCAGTTGGTGTTAATGAACCTGTTCTCTTACCTAATATATTTGCAGAAACAATAATAAGCGTATAAAACCAAAGTCCACAGGACCAGGTATATAATAAGTCATAGTGTACATACATATGTTAATGCAAGGAAAGAAAAAGTTTAATCGTTTTGTTCTTGCATAAAAGTATATGTGTGATATGGTAATTCTACTTTTCGTTCTGTTTTCTTCGTAAACCGGTTACGTTATGCTTTTGACGCGCGTTTATCATGTATTTTGATAATAACATTACCGGGGCCAACATAAGACACAATGCCAGTCGGAACACCTCGATTATTTTTCATAATCATCTCGGAATTAATACGGATTGACAGTACTTCTACCTGGTGACTTCAGATTTTAATAAAAAGAGGGTTTAACCTTTGTAAAACGAAAAAAGAATGTATTTTTTGACATCTAACGGAAAATTTAGTCTCTATTAGTTTAAATTAAACATGCCCATTGACGTAAATTTATGACCAAATCCGTAATATCCTCGATAGACAAACCTTTATATTTTCGGTTTTTATAATAACTTATTAAAGAACTGTTTATTTTAATATGCACATCCTTATCCGAAGACTAACGGAAAGGATCGAAAACTTTCGACTGGCCTTTTGCAGTCAGTCATTTTTATATAAACTAATACTAGTAGTCACATGTAGTCACGCGTTCAGTATCCTAATCGATTATGAAAACAATAACCTTTCAATATCTTCAATACACATCAGATTTCCACGGTCATCTATGGCAGCCCCGCCTACTAAATACAGGTGTCCATTGATTGGCAGAAGATGTCCAAAGAAACGAGGCGTGTTTAGAGACTTTAGGACTTCCCACTTGTCTTCAGAAGGCGTATACCGTTCCACACGACTTAGTATGTATTTATTTCCTGAAATAAAAAAAACAGATAAACATTATTGTACATTATTGACAACACACATGTTACTGTATCATTGAAAGAATACCAGAATAATAAAGTTTAGTTAAAATGCATTGGAGATACTTAAATATATCTTTTTTTTATAAAAAGCATTGCTGGCAATAGTTCCTATGTTGATGGCTGTGATGAGATGGCCTCTGAATCAAAGTATTAAACTGTAAATAAACGCATACTATCTCGTTTTTAAGAGAAATATCCAGGAAAAAAATTATTACATTCTGGCCTGTTGATAGACATGTATAATGGCTATGAAATCGATGGGGAGGCATTTTTAAAGCAATTCTCCTATTTGCTTTGTCATAGATACACAATTTATAAGCATTTGGAAGTTTCACTACCATTTTAAAGCATAAGTGCATTTTATTTGTGTACTCCTTACTTATTTAAAATGGCTGTTTATTTGTAACATTCGCGGTAATTTCAAAACATCTGAATGTTTACGCATGTCTTTCTTAAGGTGACAACGGAGTCAATTATCACTGAAAATACCTAAAAAGAGATTTTTTGCTTACTAAATTTATTAACCTTTTCTGAAAACATTCGTGATTTAATTATTGAAGCAGTTAGTCCAAAAAATGTGTTTTTAAACGTTTTAAAACGATACCTATCCCATTTTTATCTGCTATTCGCGTAACCTGTCAATTATCGATAACGCTCCGCCCCCTGTTGGGGCATCAATGAGGGAAATCGGTAGTTCCATATATCCGTGAATTACCGCCCCATACTACTCGTAATACATGTATCGTACAAATACTGTACATCTTTATGAATATCTCAACATTTTATCGTCTACCTTTTATTTAGCCTTTTTTTATATAAATTAAGAAATTGTCGACCAAGCTTAATAGGAATGTTAGTCTAAATGGGAATGGTGGTAATAAATTGAGAACCTATAAGTTGTTAAAAAATGATTATAAAACTGAAAATTATTGTAAACTATATTTGCCACGTAAACACATGTCTGCACTAGCGAAATTCAGATGTGGAGTAGCTCCCATAAAGCTTGAAACTGGTAGATATGAAAACATTGCTGTTGACAGTAGGATATGTCCAATATGTAAAATTACAGTTGAATGTGAAAAACATGTATTATTATCTTGTAATGCATATGAGCACATTAGGTTACCTATGTTAGAAAAAGCACGTAACATAAGGCCAGAATTTGTTGACCTCTCTGATGAAGATAAACTTGTATTTATTCTCTCCAACATTGATATTGTTAAAGTCACAGCCAAAACCTGTTACAATATTCTTCAACTCCGCTACAATATATTGTACAAGTAAGGTTTTTCAGACCACTTGTGTTTTAGTTTCTTTTTTTAAATTAATTTTAGTATAGTCTTTTAACATCTTTTTCAGATGATCGGTGCTTATAGTACATGATAGTAAATTTTATTGTACAAATGTGATGATAGTAATTTGTATGATACAAATGAAACATATCTGTTTTAAACATGATAAGTTGTTTTACCTACTAATGTATAGAATATCACCACTGACCAATCATCCATGGTCTGACCATGGGTGATATAGTTTTATTAAATTTGTGGAATAGTGCCACTTTTTAGAACACTTAGAGATGCCACTTTTTAGAACACTTAGAGATTTATTATCAAAATATCTTACAGCATTTCTTCATTTATTTTTTATTGAAGGTCAGTGGGGATAATCTAACTTTTATGATGTAAAATGGTCTTATAATGTATTTTTACTGTTAACAATAGGAACTAAATATCAATTGTAAATGGATAATGATAAGTATATATATGATATAGTCTCTTATAATTCTATTGTAGAATGGTCATATGTATTTTTTTATCAATTTTTAATATGTTTTATGTATATATGTATGCATATGAAAGAGACTGAAATAAACTAATAAACTATAAACCAATGTACGTAACATAATGTATGTAACATAAGTAATTAAGCATAGCTGTAAATCGCACGACCACGGGGTTGATTAAAAAATGTAGTTGCTAAAATATCCATAATGTGTGAAAAAATAATTTGTTTGTCCTGTTAATCTGATAGATATTACATTGACTTTATGGACTTTTGTACGGATTCAAGGGATTGCTTTACATTCAAACTAGTTTTCTAAAAATGTCTAGTAAAACAACAACAAAAAAACAGACATAATTTATGTGAACGCCTATTTGACTTGTGGTAAGGGGTCAATGACAAATTTCTAAACCATTTTTACCATTGTCAAAGGATGATTATTTCTCTATGAATCAATAAAAAAGATATTAAAATATATTACCAGTGAATGCTTTGAATAAATTGTCCGCCAGTAAATCGAACACAGTACTAATAAACCTGGGACAAAGTATAAAATTTATTGTCTATCCCGGTAGAAACTGGATCTCTATGCCGTGCATAGATGATATTCATGATAATAGAAGTCAAGGAGGCCAGATCATAATGATCGAGTAATACCTTTTATTTCTATTAAAATATGTGAAGCATTATCAATTTGGTGGAAAAAAATATATAATATCCCGTTCTTATTTGTATACATCTACAATGGACTTTAAAAGACTGTCAGAAGCTCAGTTTTTTTGTTATTTTATTTCATATTTTAACGGAATTTCATACACAGGCAGAGTGACACTGGTATAATACAATAATAATGCTGATGATAATAATAATAAACTTCAAAAAGGAAACAATAAAATACCCCGCTAGCGGTGCGCAAATGCGTTCCATTTCCCCCCACTGAGTGCCTCAAATTTTACCGATAGTCACGTGACATGTGCGACAGATACCAGACGAACAGTAAATCACGTTAAGAATTGAAGAAATTTCGGCTATAAACTGATATTAATCAGCAGCTTTTTAATTGGTCAGATGTCACTGGGTCATAAAATGTTGTTAGAGTATGTTACCGCAACTTGTGACCCTCTCTGGTGCGATATTTGTGTATTATGCAATTATTTAGCGTGAAACGTAGGGGTCCGAGAGAGAACAGCCGATTTATGACACTTCGTTTGATGCGGGTCGGACTAACTTTGAATCGGCATAACTTTTTTAATAATCAAGCAATTAACATGCGGTTTAAAGCACATGAAAGGAAATTCATTTACGGAGGGAACCGTGTCAGGGATTTTTGTTTGCTCAATCAGCGACTTAATTATCTTTAATTACGTAATATGTATGGTGAAAAAAGTCGCATAAAATGTTTGACGTTACGTAATATTTTTTTGAGAAAAGATAGAAAAAATTTGAGACACGGTTCCCCAGATAATATAAGTATGGTTATTTTCCAAAAGTTTGATGACAAAAAAATAAAAAATGACTTTGATATGACGATTTAAAATTTTAGGATTTTTATTCAAAATCAATCATTTACAAAGGCATTTTTTTCAAATATGTTTTTTTTTATGATGATCAACGATATTTAATGCACAAAGATTAAATAAATAACAATTATTACTAAAATAACTTGGTTTAAATGACATTTATGTGAGTACCACGGAAAGTGTCTGTTGTCACCTCAAAACAATTAATATGTGTTGTTGTTTTTGTTTTTTTGGGGTTTTTTTTAGTATTTTTGTTGTTTTTTTGTTGTTGTTGTTGGGGTTTTTTTTTTCGCGCTATTTGAAGCATTTTGGACAATTTCTCGTGTCTTACTCCACTATTTAAAAGCATTTCGACATTTTCGTATATTTTTTCACTTCTCTGCTATTTCTAGGCATTTTTAATGTTTTGTGCAAATCTTTTTCTTGAGAATATCGTTGATACATTCGTGTTGTCTTTTTGTGCTATTTAAAAGCATTTGGACTTTTTTGTCTCTATCTTCACCACTTTTTGCGTGTCTTTCTCCACTAGTTTAAAGCTCTTGGTCTTTTTGCGTGTCTTTCTCCACTATTTTTAACGCATTTTGACATTTTTGTATTTTTCCCCACTTTAGGTAAATCGTTTGTACATTCGTGATGTCTTTTTGTGCTCTCTCAAACTATTTGGACTATGTACGTGTCTTTCCAATACCATCTCACCGCATTTCGATTTTTTTCTCGTTTTTCTCCAATATTTTACAGAATCTGCATTTTTTTTCGTGTCTTTCTCAACTTTTAGAAAACTTTTGGTCTTTTTATCATGTTTTGCTTCGCTAAGTATTTGAATTTTTTGTCGTTCTCGACTATTTCCAAGCATTTGAAGTTTTTTGTGTCTTTTTTCTACTAGTTAATAGCATTGAACTTTTTGGATCTTTCTCCAATATTTCAAAGCATCTGGACAGTGTTTGTATCTTTCACGACTATTTTAAAGCATTTGGACTTTTTCCGTATCTTTCTCCACTAGTTCAAAACATTTAGACATTTTCGAGTCTTTTTTCAACTTATTCAAAACATTTGGGTAGTTTATTTGCGGCTTTTACTGTTATGTTTTAATAATAATGGTACATATAAAAAAGTATACGTATTGTCTTTTTGCGCTATTTCAAAGGGGGGGGGGGGTCCTTTTGATGTGCTTCTCTACTATTTTATAGCATTTTAACTTGTTTGAATCTTTCTCCACTATTTTAAGGCATTTAGACAATTTTTGTGCCTTTTCTACATTTCAAGCTCGTAGTTGGTTGAGTTGAGTCTTTCCACACTATTTCAATGCATATAGACGGTTTATGCGTGGCTTTTGCTCCGCCGGAACTTATAACGGCTGTCCAAACGCATAGCTTTGACATTGTTCGTTCCAGCAACTGGCAGTCATCTTTAAACACTACAATGTATTTTACTTTGCGTACATAATTAAAAACATTTGTCAGACCTTCAAACTTGGGAAACGTTTAAACCGAAAACAGTTTCCAGTTGTATTGAATAATAATGTACACAGCTTTTAATCACCAGGGTGTTTGTTTTGTTTTTTTGTTGTTGTTTTTTTTTGGGGGGGGGGTGTTATCGGACGACTGAAAGAGGACTGGTGGCTGAGCCATTACTTCAAAACATCAGAACGGCTAACCATGTATCACGGATGAACATTTCTTCTATAAAATATATTCATTCTTATGTGACCAATATTGCTTTGGCCAGCGAAAACGACATACAGTGGGCGGGCCTTTACATCATTTATAACGTGACAGTAAATATCAGACAATGTGCAAGTACAAACTGTAACAAATAATGCTTTTTAGTTAATTCAGTTACATATCGACGAAAATAATTCACATATGACGGAATACAAGTTGACTGCTAATCCCTTGTAGGAAGACCCCCCCCCCCCCCCCCCCCCCCCCCCCCCCGAGAATCGGGTAATTGATGCTTTCCGTTTTAACTCAAGTAGCCCTTGCATCAATATAGTTTGTATCCCACTAAAACAATACACAAGAGATAATATCACTTACCCGAGCCGCCGACAGCATATAATTTTCCGTGTAAAACGCCAACGGCAGCACATCGACGAGGACAACAAAGCTGTGCAACGTCTTCCCAACGGTCAAGGCAGGGATCATACCGCTCTACCGAGGCAAGGGAATCGTCGTGACTAATACGACCACCTGCAAAATTGAAATAAAAGATAAAAGGATAATCATTCCACTTAAGACAATAATTATTTTTCTGTACTACCCGGCCGCTTGACGAAAAAGTCGAAAGTGTAACAGGATAACAGTTGGATGCTGAAAAGAAAACAATAGCAAACAAACAAAATACTGCCAAAATACTAAAGATTTAATACTTTTGGATATTTAGAACGATAACTGTAAACATGCATTTGGTTTGATAATATTTTATTGCATATATAAATGTACATCAATTCTTTTAAATCACAAAATTGCACAATATACAAAATGGTTGTGCCAAAGGTTTTTTCAACATTATCGTGTGCCGCCCGTGTATATTTTTAACATCAGTTTCATATAGTAAAGATAGATTTATATATTTAAACATGTTGGATCTTTATGTCTTATTGTTGTTCATGCAGACTTGGCAAACAACTTTTACACAAAAGATGTATTCAACATGAGAGTATTATAATGACATTAATATATGAGCCGCGTCACGACAAAACGAACATAATGGGTTTGCGACCAGCATGGATCCAGACCAGCCTGCGCATCCGCGCAGTCTGATCAGGATCCATGCTGTTCGCTTACAAACTCTATAACAAGTAGAGAAACTGATAGCGAACAGCATGGATCCTGATCAGACTGCGAGGATGCGCAGGCTGGTCTGGATCCATGCTGGTCGCAAACCCATTATGTTGGTTTTGTCATGACACGGCTCATATCATATTTTGCTGTTATTACCACAACGTTAACCATGTTATGATTGTTCAAGCGAGATACTTATTCAAATAAGTATTTCCGTCAAACATTAGATATTTGATCTACGAGACGTTAACCACTTCCGGTAACATGTCATAAATACGGATAACGTCATAAATCGGAGGTCAAGATTAACGTGCTATATAATGTTGCTACTGATATAGCTGTTGATAATATTGTTATTATGCACATTTAAAATAATCCATTCGGAATAAGTTTTATCCTATCACTGCCGGAAGTGATGTAAAAAATATTGATTGTTTTTGCTGAATTAAATAGTCTCAATTTTCATTTTTCATATTTATAAATTATCTATCCCATCACTAAATCAACAGTATACATATCTAAAAAAAAAAGTAAATCGTCATTTTATAAGCATCTTAGGGAAGATTTTAGGGCACATTTAGCCTCCGAAATGATTTTATTTTTATTTTTCAAAAGCTTTTCAACTTTGAAGTACTTTTCTAGCATCCAATAAGTTATTTACTGGCCATCATGTTCATCTGTTGCTTTTTTTTTTTGGCAAAGTACAGATATAGTGAATTAGTATTTTGTATGGAAGTCAAAAAACTACTTTGTTTACGTTTTGCTTCTTTTATGACAAATTATTTCTCATATATCGCTGTTTTCTTTAGGTAATAAGCATTTGAAATAAGTTATATAAAAACAATCATTTAAACATTATAAAATTTATGCTTGCTCTTTCTTAAGAAGTAAAAGTTTATTTATTTCGGAGGCATAATGTGCCTTTAAGGATATGCAAATATGTATGTAATTGTAAGATGATTTTAACCTATAGAAGTGAAATAATATGTAATGAAGGAAGCGTATGTGGTGTTTTTTTTCTATACAAAATTCTAAATTACTATCGATATATAACTGACCAAAAGCCAAAAGAAATAAGGATTGCTCAGATTTATAGCCCATGCATGAGGGCTTTTTTTGTTTTTGTTTGTTTTTTGTTGTTGTTTTTTTTTTGTTTTTTTTGGGGGGGGGGTTGGTGGGGGGTCACGGTTTATTATGTTTTAAATGGCATTATTTTGGGAGGTTACTAGTCAACTAAATTTGCTGATGGATTATGAAATGAACGAAATTCTAGTTTATCAAATTCATTTTTAGTTGAATGTATAAAAATACTTAAACGTCATATCAAACGTGTCCTCGGCACGCTACCATTGTTGATAATTGTTGTATATTATGTTAAAACATGGCAATCAATGAAGTTTAAATATACCGTTTCTTTATTTAACGGCAAACTTTCACTGGCATGCTAATTTTGTATCTCAGCACGTGCGTTAATTCACGTTATCGATTGTGAAATATTTATATCACCATAACACGAAGTTTCAATTATACAACCGTAGTCACGAATTGTGTCACTAGAACGCGATTTCATTTACTTAGAAGTTTAATTAAATAAATATAGATAGATAAGTAGATAAATAAATAAAGAAAGAAAGAAAGAAAGAAAGAAAGAGAAAGAAAGAGAGAGAGAAAGAAAGAAGAAAGAAAGAAAGAAAGAGAGAGAGAGAGAGAGAGAGAAAGAGAGAAAGAAAGAAAGAAAGAAAGAAAGAAAGAAACATTCATTCATTTACAAGAACGCGAAGACACGAAGTTTCAGTCACGAATTGTGCCTCGAGAAGGCAACTTTGTAGAATAAATAAATAAGCAAATAAATTCATTCATTCATTTATTCATTCATTCTTTTTAAAGTCCAATCAATTTACAATTAACATTAAACAGTACAAAACATATTTACCCGAATAATATAATAAAAACACTGAATTTCTTATAAAATAATGACTCCGGACAATGTACTGAAAATAACGTAAATGCATGAACAAAATGATTCTTATGAGGCACCACATCAGGAATCTTAAAAGAAACAGAGATGTTATCTATGTCTCTGAAAGAAATAATAATTAAAATTAGCTTGTCATTTTTCTTCAGTTATTTCTTCTTTATTATATAAGGTATATAAATTTCAATAGTATAAAGTCGTTATACAGATTACAGACTGGATATTACGCTCTCAGATCATATGTAAACATCTCATCCAAAAAAGAAAATTCTCTCGTATATCCCGTCCGTATATTATTACTATTATTATTTCACTGAGGAGAGGACGAATAAAAACACAAAAGATCTTAACTAAACGAATGATGACCGACCCAGAAGTATTAAATATGCTTGTTGATCATTAAGCCAAATTGGCGTTTTTTTTCCTGGTCATGTCTGACTACATTAAGGACATGAATGACAATTACTTTTTTTCACATCAAGAGAGGAACAAATAACCATGGTTTAGAATATTTAATGTTCAAGATTTATGTGAGATAATACAGGGGTTGCCACGTGGGATTCATCATAACCTGTAGTGTAACCATAACAAGGATGTCTAATATACTGATTTTTTTCTCTCTCTCGAAACAACAACAAACTGAAATTTGACTACGCATATCATTTTATGACTATTGCGTTATACAAACATAGCGTTAAGACGCGTTGCACTACAAGCGCATCAATGAAAAGGTGATTCGTTTTTGCTGTCAACTGTTCTTAGTTTGGAAATGTGATAAATAAAATATTACATTCATTTAGATTTATTACTGAATTTATTGAACTCGTTTAATAAAATAATGTAATGCTCGCCATAGGCTCGCATAATTTCTTTAATACGTTCAATAAATACAGCATTGGACCCACACTCTCATTCAATATCCTCCTTAAAAATATAACCAATATACCTTCAGCGTTTGAACTACGTTATGTTCCAAAAGGGTTCATAATTGGATCTAAGCTTTTTACGAGTCCATAACAAATCCATATCAAATGTATACCGTACCCCCTGTAGCCTCGTTATCATTTTCAGAGTCATGTATATAGAAATACATGTATACCTTACCCCATGTAACAACGTCTCCAGTTTCAGAGTCTAAAATATATATATATATTTTTTTTATTGCACTTCAATAGCAAAGTTCTGTCCGGCTGCGGCACCATCCAATATAGATTTGACAGCTGTACACACGTCCAATAGAATTGAATATTGTACCCAACAATGTATAATAACCTCATATTATTCATTCTAATGCATGACAGTGCTGTAAAACTACATCAGATAGTCCTTTTATAACAGTTTTCTTGAACTCATTAATACAGGATATCGAATAAGTGAATGATTGATAAAAACGTTGTAGTCCCGTAGTATTATTGCGCAATATGCAAATTACTGCCGAAACGATTTACCGCTGTCGAAAAAGTAGGACAGCAAATTATACTATACTAAAGGTGTAAGCTCTGAGTTCCAAGAAATTATTAGTAGGAAATAAATATTTCTACATTATACAAAACATTATTATTAACAAATCAAAAGTTTTTCGTGACTCTAGAATAACTCGCGCATTAATAAAAGAAGAACTAATTTCGTGACTCATACCGCGGGTTTAGCTGAATATTCAGCAGTTATTAATAAATTAGATACAGTACAATGGTTAGTATAAATATCTTTTTTTGAAAATGCATGTAACAAGAGAGTTTTTCAACACTTTACCACCATGTAGTCTTTCATGGTATTATTAATTGAAGGAAGTTATAATATCAGTTCTACTTCCGATTCTTGTGGTTTGTTTACATATTTTTCTAGGTCTCGATATGAGTTAACCTTCGCTATTCTATAAATAGATTCTGCTTCAGCTATTCTATTTTTGGACAGGCGATTAGGGAGTACACATTATACATGTAATAAACCAGCGGATTACATGCAATAATTTTAGAGATTTTATACAATTGTAAGAAGCAAACAAGTTGAAAATGGAATTTAGTGTGAAATTGAAAAGGACAACTAAACACTGTAGTGCTTAAGTGACATTTAAATTAAAATAAAAACGATGTGCTCTGGCCTCTACATCTGTACCTTGTTAATAAAAAAAATCTAAAAAAATACACTATTAATTGCTGATGATTTTAACCAAAAATATTTTTAATGAGACATATCCAAGAGAAATAAAAATACAAATGACTTATATTTTATTGTCTATATGCCCACTATGATATAACACGAAGCAATTCTAAATAGCATTCTCACATATATAATGTATTATGCTTGAAGTTTATTTGCATGGTTTTATTTTAGAAATATTTCGTTGACAGTTTTTTTTCCTATTTACATATCATTTCTTGGAATAAATCGATAAGGACACTGATTTACACGTTTGACCAGAGTTTTTAGG